CCTTTATATTTATACATTTATTTCCAATAATGATAGGTTCTGTCCTCCATAGAAAATGGCTACTTATCAATTAATTGTTAATCAGTAAATAAGAAAAATCAACATCATTCATTAATCCCTAAATTATACAGGAATAAATTAATTTATATCTACTCATATTTATGTAGTTGAGTGTTTTAATGATCTTGCTGATTCATCGATTCATCAAAAAAATCAACAAATTAATCAATTATTAAAATAATCGTTAGTTGCAGCCCTAGTCTGAATGTTTGCAAGYTCTTTCATGATTTCTATCCAGTGTGCACTATTGTTCAATGTAGAATATCTAATGACAACTAGTAAATGGTAAATGAACTGTTCTATTCAACCAGGATATTCAAAACACTTTTATGTATTTATGATTTTTTGTCTTTATGTTTAAATATTTATGTAAGTAAAAATAATGCCATTTTCTATATGTAAATACAAATCTGTACAATATGTACATATCAAGAAGCTCCATCTCATTTAATTTATTCTATTTTTACTTCATTTAGTTTTTTAAGTARAATATAAATTTGATGTGGGCTATCTGTACTCTACCTGTCAAATGTCATCCTAACACTGTGAATTTCCCCCTCAGGGATGAACAAAGGCAAATCTTATCTTGTGTCAAAATGGACCAGACTCTCTGAGGAATGTTTCCAACAGCTTGCTGCCATGAAGAATTAAGGCTGTTCAGAAGGCAGAGTGGCTCCAGCCTAGTTTTAGCATTATGTACCTYATAATGTGGCCACTGAGTCTGTGCARATCCTGTTGTGAGAAATTAGAAAACGGTGCAAAGGTTTATGAAATAACATTTGCAAGAACCAATGTTATCATTCAGCTTTGACTGTCTTGGAGCTTCCTAAACCAGCTGCTAGCTCAAACATTCTCGCGCTTATTGATAATGTTACAACTTTACTGCAAACCTCTCTTGATGAAATTGCTCCTCTGAAAAAGAAAGTAATCYATCAGAAGAGGCCGACTGCTTGGTTTAATTCAGAGTTACGCACATTAAATCCTCACTTCAAATCTAGAGAACTGGAGAGAAAATGGCGCTCCACTAACATAGAAGAATTTTACTTTACTTGMAGAGACAGCCTGCTAACACAGAGGAAAGCCCTTTGTAAAGCTAGAACTGTATAATATTCATCTTTAATAGAAGAGAATAAAAACTATCCCAGGTTTCTGTTCAGTACTGTAGCTAGACCAATAAAAAGTCCTATCTCTGTTGAGCCATGTATCCCTATAACTCTAAGTAGTGATGACTTCACAAGATTCTTTATACAGGGTGTATCAGAAAAAAATGATACACTCAGAAAAATCGCCAAAAAATTAACATAAATAATAATTTTGAAAATGTGGGCGTAACCTTTGGTAGAGGGGAACATTCTGCTTTGAATTACACCAAAATATTAGTTACATTTCACGTGCCAGTGAGCAGGGACAGTTGGAAATTCACAAAATTCATGTCCTTTGCACAWGGAAATGTGAGGGTTAAAATACAATCTGTCACATAAAACTGAAAATTTAGATGGTGTTTTACACACATGCCAAGGTGTGTTTAAAATAATTAATCCTTTCATGCCCTAACATTGAAACAAAAATATCTCATTTTTGAGTGGATCATAACCAAGGGTTAACAAACACATGTGAAGTGGCCGTGGACAAGTCAATCCAGCCAGCATGCAGGATGGTGTGTCATCTGAAGGTGCTGAAGAGCTCAGTCCCTCACTGGTTCAGACTGCCGGCTCCAAAGGACCATTCAGAGAGGCCCACCTGTTCACCACCTATCAGACAAGACACACACACACACACACACACAGCCAAGTTAGGTACGGAAAACAAGGGCACACCCAAACTGCAAAATAAATAAATAAATACGACAAAGATGCCAGTCAGTGCATAACACAGTAGTCTGGTCTAAAATYTAATAAAAAACAACAACATACAGACACATTGTGACAAGTCTAGAGGAGACAACTTTTTATGCAAGCTATATAAAAATAAAGTGTCTCTATCTTAGTGGGACTTCTGACACTGAGAGGAGGCCAGAGTCTCATAGGTGGGCAGTATGAGGTGGTTGAGGTGTAGGCAGGTCTCTAGATGTCATCAGTCTTTGTGGATCTGTTCTTGGATTTGATGATTTTCATGTGTGAAAAAGCAGACTCACAAAGGTAGCTTGATCTAAAAAGTGCTACCAAGTTCAAAGCACCACTTCTGATGGTGGGATACGTTTCCTCTGACAGCAGATTGCAGAACTCTCCATCCATGCAACTTGTTGCTCTGGATTTGATCCCAATGTCATTTTTGCAGAGTCAAAACATCATTTTCAACACCAGAGCAGTCCAGCGGAAACACGGACACAAATTTGTACACAATGTCATCAATTCCTGGACAACTGCACYTCTTTGATAGCAGCCATAATCTCAGTTTTGTTTTTAAAATCACAGAAAAACACGTTTGCAGCCTCAAACGCTTCTTTCATAACTTCATCATCGRTGAAAGACTGTTTTTGTGTTGAGCCAGGATGCGGCTACATTAGCAGTCTTACCTTTGCTTTGGTGTTGGGCTGAATGAAAATCGATGCTGTGCTGCAAAGCTTGTTCTTCAGCTCATGAACTTTCTGAGCTTGGTTTTAGGAGGGAATCCGTCTCGTAGCATTTGTGCATTATTTTGAAATGCCGTTCCACATTATCCTTTTTGGAAAATGCAGCGTTCGAATTACATACGAATCCTCTTCCAACTCCAGGTGAAAATGCTTTTTTTTTTTTTTGCTTGTAAGCTCATTTTTCGTTCATTTTTTTCCCGCAATAGTGATCAACAACTCCTCTCTACTATGTTTTGAACACGTGAACATAAAGTCCTGCGAGATCAAGTTCTGACTCAAAACTTGCGAGACTAGGTCTGTGAGAATTTACAAGAGGGGGAGGGCGGAGGGAGCGCTTTTAAGGCTGGAATGTTAAATAAACAAGGTTGCGTTCTGCAAGTCTCGTGATCGACTGGAACCAGCCAAAGATCGACCGGTAGATCGCGATCAACTGGTTGGGCACACCTGGCTTAGACCAATCCTGTTTACTTTAACGGAGTTCTGATTTTTTGAAAAAAAAAAATGGCTTTAACGTTCAAATTACATTTTAAATGTGACCTCCATCAGACTCCAGTGTGAACTTGACACTGATGTGACCCACATGCACAGACGTGATGTCTCATTCAGCCGGCTGTTTGTTCACAGAGTTAGCATAAGTTGTTGTCCAATCAGAGCTGATTAAATAATTATCTGACATACTTGTTTAATTCAGTGTTTATATCTGAACCTGCCTCTGACCTGGATGTTCCGGTGAAGAGTTTTATTTTTGAAACGAAGCAGTGTTCTGGAAATAAAGTATCGACTGAGCAAATTTAGGATCAATACGCTCCGCGACCGAGTCTGGATGTTATCTACATGGAAAATAAAATGTAAAAAGATGAAGCAACTGGACTTCTGTTTTGGAGCTGTAAACACATGGAGCTACAAATTTAAAAAGCGTGACTCCAGGTTAGTGTGTGATCCTTCACCCCCACCTCACTGATGAAAGCGTTGGATGGAATGTGACACGAGCGTTCATACTGCAGTTGCTTTGAAAAACATCAGATATGTATCTTGATTCAATACCACATACTAAAAAGGCCTGCTGGTTCAGATTTGAATAATCTAATTTATCGCATTCAGGCTGTCACAAAAAAAATCAGAAATGGGTTGCATTTTCCTGCGGTGTGAACGTCACCTTCCAGAAGAAAATACACCTGGACCAGTCGTTCTGTGTTTATCTGTGTCTCTTTCCTGTCCCCCAAATCCAGCTGGCAGATGGCCGCCTGTCCTGAGCCTGGTTCTGGTTCTGCTGGAGGTTTCTTCCTGTTAAAAAGGGAGTTTTTT